TTCATCGTTATTTCTTCAACCCCTCCCATTATTTCAGTTTGGTTTTACTGGTGAATGTGTGCATTGAAATGTACACACTAGAATCATGTATTCGTAAAGCAAGATATAAATTATGAAAAGAAATAAAAAAAACATGCCCGACATTACGACTGACACCACAGCTTCTAGCCATCTTGGTAACAAATGTTTGTATTTGGTCTTCCGAGTAAATTGTTTTTCAACATGTTAGTATAGATTGTGACATTTATAGCGCGTGCGTGTGTGATGATGGTTACCATAGGGACAAATGTGAACATATCACAGAAGTGTATGTACAAGCGGAAGAATTTGATGCGACAGGTAACGTAGGCTGTGTTTTCTGATAGTACGGCAACTCTGGCGCTCATGGTACTTAACGGCCTGTTTGGGGTCTCGGTTCTAGTAAACAAGCTGTTAACTACAGTTAGTCCGAGTTGCAATGCTTTGAAGAAACAATACTTCAAATTTGGCGAGTGTTACGTAACTGTATTGTACAAGAACAATCAGCCAATGATCTGTAGAAATCGCACTTGATTCATGAACATTGTGCTCTTCACTTGAGTCTTGTGAGAACAATCTAATTCTGATAAACCGTACTCTCCCAATAAGCGGCATTGTTGGGAGCAAAGAAACTAGTGAATGTGAACTTCTTAGTATTTTCCTAGTTAATGCTGAACAAAAACTGTCGGCTAGTGAAGGGTTAGTGGACAATAGCTACGAGTCAAAATGTAATATTACTTCAGGTAGAGATGCACGTTTGTGGGAACTTGGGAGTAAAATTCTTTTTTTTTGCTTTTTATTATCCAAACAGTCTTGGCTATAGACTGTTAAAATTTTGTGGAATTGTGAATAGTGGAACATACTCAAAAAACGATTTTACAATACAGATAACAGGTGCAAACATTCTCTCTTTTCAATGCTTAGCAAGATTTAGCAAGGCTGTACATAAATAATAAAAAAGAAACATGGTAAAAAAAGAAATGACGGGATCTCCATATTATGCTCTATATTTAACTTTTTACAAAACGATAATACATTTAAATTTGGAACTGTTACAGCCATTTTAATTATGAGCATTAGCTAACTCCTTATTGAGTGAATTGTTATGCAAATTAGCAATTATCTCGGCTTCTTTTTAGTGCACATCCCAGAACTTTAAAAAAATAGCTCCCAGATGCTTTGACTTTTTGTTTTGAAATTTTCACAAATGATTGACAATGTGTTTATCTTCAAAATGCCGTCGGGGCATTGTTGGTTGAACAGTGTTACAACAATTGTACAGACAACAAGCCTGGGTGTTAATTTATGCATAAACTTGAAGTAGTGAAATTTGAGCTGCTGCCCTGCAAAATTGACACCTGGTAGACAGTTTTCAAGAACTTTCTTCATAGTAAACTGATGTACTCATAAACCAATTTTGACAGGAAACAGAAGCATGGTTTAGAAGCTTATTTTTTTTAAATCACTTTTGAAAAATAACAAAATTTTAAAATTCATACAATAAGCTTTCCGAAAATGTATAGTTTTGTGGACAAGGGAGGTCATCTTGGTTTCCTAATTAACTAATTAAAATACCTGTCAGGTAAACTGCATCTCTACCTTAAATGTATACCTGAAATTTTATTTAAAACTCTATAAATTATGTCAATTAACTATTGTTACTATGTTTCATTCAGCAGAATGTGGCCAACTGTGCCAAAATGGCACATGTAATGAATATGGCGA